AAAAAAAAAAAAAAAAGACTACAGTGAATTGGCAACTATTCTAAAATACTTCACCGTTGAGTTGTTCAACCATGCTTCACATTTTCTTTCTAAACTTTGTTAAATGGCCTAGCTCAAAAAAAAACCTATGAGGGGAAAGAAAAGCAGCAGTAGAATGGCATTTTCTAGAAAGAAACAATTTTTTTTTTTTTTAAATTCCAGTGGAAGGGGCGCCTGGGTGGCTCAGTTGTTAAGCATCTGCCTTCGGCTCAGGTCAGGATCCCAGGGTCCTGGGATCAAGCCCCTCATCGGGCTCCCTGCTCCACGGGAAACCTGCTTCTCCCTCTCCCGCTCCCCCTGCTTGTGTTCCCTCTCTTGCTGTGTCTCTGTCAAATAAATAAATAAAATCTTTAAAATAATAATAAAATAAATAAATTCCAGTGGAAAACTACCATAAATGTCTTACACTACTTACAAGTCTTCTGTAAATTTGGTGGGTGAACTAGGTTGGATGGCAATGTGGACCCTCTTACTGGTTGTTCTTTATGATGTTCAAGGAAATCTCCCCACGTTGGCTGAAGCTGTAAAATAATTTTTTTAAAATCACATGAATAAAGTGTAGAATTTCAGAAGCCACTTTTCAAGAATAGAACAAAATTTAAACACTTTACCACAGTAGCACTTAATGGAGATCCTGCTGGAGTATTTGTATATGTACTAGTTAATGACAACTCAAGGTCCATATTTGGAGGGTCTCCCAGAGGTGGAAGAGAAGAGAGACTATGGGACATGTCCATATCAGCCATGGAGAAGAAAACTTCTTCTTCTAGACAAAATTAAACCTTGTCAGTTGTATAATTCATGTCTTTAAATTAACATACATTAATATAATATTCTTCAGATTATCTGAAGTACAGTGATGCCCTACAATTTACATTACTTCTGATGGGGTAATTTGTGAGGATCCAAGATATAAATGGCATAGTAAAAACTCAACCAAATACAAGTTAACAAAACATTATGCTATCCTACCGGTAAACTTGGTTTTTGTTTTTTTTTTAATGTAAGATTTGCAGTACTACGTGGTATATTTTTAAGTGTCATGTGACAATTTAGAAGTAACTTTAAAATAATATAAAGATCTTGCAATCTCTGGTGTCGTATGAATACAGCTCTTTAAAAAAACAAACAAAAAAAAAACACCTGAATGTATTATTTAGAATTTTATTTACATTTCACTTCTTTCTGGAGGTTGTTTTACCCTCATGCAAATGAAGTTTGTTATGACCAAAATTTCTTGAGTCGATTTTAAAACTTATTTAGTTCAACATTCTATACTTAAATGGATTCTTATTAAGGTATTAGTGCTAAACATTCTAAAACACCTGTAAAAATGCAAAGTAAACTGTGTAAAGACTATGTGTAATTGATGGAAGAGTAGAAAAAAAGGTTCCATTTAAGGGCCTCTAACGGTAAATCAGTATACGAGCATGTAAGAATTTGTTAAAATGATTACCCCAATTTATCTTTTGTGTAAATCTACATTTTTGTAAATTGACTGTCCTTAGAATAAAAAAGAAGAAGTCATGATTTACAAAATGAGATTACACACTCAAAAAAGGATACGTGAACCAGTGCGTCACTGTAATGCTGCAGTTAGATCAACTTACAAATTTAAACCTTCTTAGATCACGGATCTTTCATTCTTTCGTTACTAAACTCCATTTCACAACGGCCAAATTAAGTTTACTTTGCTCTATGATGATGTTGTAGGAATCCAGTGTCAATTGTTTCAGTCGCTTACCACGGCTAGAAGGTGTACGAGCGGATTCTGTCTCATAAAAGCTTTGCTCTGAAGATACACCTGCTGAGAGGGAATCTTTTCTCAAATAATACCGGTTTAATTCCATCTGAATTCGATATTCCTCTTCTTGCTGCATGGGTCGGCTTTTTCTATCTTTATTAGCTAACCCTATTTTGCTAGAATTTTCTACAAGTATAGAAAGGAAAGCAAAACAGTAATTAAATTTGGAGTTAATCAATCATCTCTCTCCCAAAACCCACTTGTCCAATACCAACGGCAACTTCATGCCACAGTCAATGCAGAACTACCACTATTTAATATTAATCAGAGCTATGCAGTAGCTTTAAGCAACTAGCTAGGGATCACAGAATCTAAAAAGTTTTAAATAATCAAAAATAATAACAGAGTTGCCTATTGCCATACTTGCCTGGTCCAGCAACAGCTGCTAACATATCCAAAAGCAAGTGCACCTGCCTTGGTGACAGGAATAGATGAATAGAGTCTATCTGTCCATCAATATCCAACTTCAAAAAAAAAAAAAAATAAGCCATTCAGGATAAACACTCTTTAAAATCTCATCACCACAAATCCCAGTATACTTTAATGACTGATTACTTAAGTCTTGGTTGGATTCCCTCACCTAAGATTCCCTCCACTAATTCACACAATCTAAATGAAAGACTTAAAGGCCACCAAACTGTTGTTCTAAGGGGAAAAATCCTCCTGCAAAATTCCTTGTTGGCAAGTCCAATGTCCTATTTTTATCTCTGAGTTTTCTGAGCATTTCAGGTATTTGAGGAGGCTTCAAGTCACAGTCACCAGGAAGAATATGAAGACAGCAGCAGCACAGAATTCATTCCCAACAGGATTTCAAGACTCAAATCATAATCCTCAAAGTGGGATTCAAGCCAAGAGCAAATAAAGTTGGCTTTCTCAAGTTTGCGCATGGATAACACTCCCTAACAGAGCATGTGAGGCCCTTCCCTACCAACAGTATGCCCCTCCACACGTGCACACAGGGTTCCACAAAGCCCGCTCTCTGCTGGGCAGGAAAGTGCAGGCCACAGCAGAGATGCCCACGAAGCAGGTGCTCATGTGGACTGCCTTGCTCTTTTCCAAGTCTTTGTCCATTTTTCCTCACGGAAATAAAAGCCCCAGCTGGTCTCATCCTGATTCCTGTGGAGTATATTCTGACAAAACAATTACTCTATTTTCTACATCACATTCTAACAAGTTGAGTATGCCTGCCTTACTTTTCATTCACCTCCTCTTAGGGCTAATGCTAACACTCCTATTATCTTTATTCCATTTCACAATTTTAAAAGAATTCAATTAATAACATCTATATTTGGAAAATGGTATCTTCCCGGGGCGGATGGACAAATTTCTTCTGATTCTAAAAGCAAAAAATATTACACAGTAATGCCGAGAAGCTTCCATGATCGGAGAATATAATGTATTCTCCAGGAATAACAATCTTCACTATTACCTTTTTCTGAGTGTTGGGGCACTATGCTTTTACTACATTTCTGCTCATTCTAGAAAGGCATCTGTTTTACAGACGAGGACATGGGATCATAAAGATCTGCACAAGGCCATCTACAGACCCAAAGCCAGGATTTTAACCTAGGCTGACCTAGATGGGAAGCCCTCACTCCTCCCATGGTATGGCTCTCGGTGGATTTGTTTTATGGAGCTCCTTGCTGACAGCTGCCATCCCAGACGATGAATCAGCAAGGAGTTTAGGCTGGGGACAGTGGGAAAATCTCTGATTACATGCTATATTTAAAAATTGGTTTTTAATTTCTTAGTATTGAAAACATAATCTCTGACCTTTATTAGGATGGATTATCAAGAGTTTCACTTCTAATGTTCATAGAAATATTATTTGTACATTCTAAATTTGGCATACAAAGAACAAAGCAGCTCTTACTTTCCTCTGGAAATAGAAAAAACAGAACATAACTAAAATAATTTCAAACTCAATATGACAATAGTAACCAAACAAAATGTCTATAAATTCAATACATACAGCTCCTCTATTTTCTTATACACTCCTGAAAGTATACGCTAAAACTGAACGTGTGAACTACCAAGCTGACACACTATTTGGGGTGGGTACCATCTCAGAGAACTAAAAAAAAAATTTTTTAATTTATTTTAGAGAGCGAGAGCGCACACATGCACATACAAGGAGGCAGGGGGCAAAGGAAGAGGGAGAGAGAGATCTCAAATAAGACTCTGTAGTGAGCGAGGGCTCAATCTCACGACCCTGAGATCATGACCTGAGCGAAAATCAAGAGTCGGACACTTAACTGACTGAGCCACCCAGGAGCAGCCCCCTCCAAATCTTTCATAACATTTTGATCCCACAGTTGAAAAACCTGTGGATCTAATGAACATTGGTGAGACTAAAGATCTGACACTTGAGCACCCCTAACCAATGCCATCTTTGTCTACACGGCATTAAGTTTATGGGATTTATGTTTCTCAAAGCTAATATCTAGAACTTTAGCCTTCATTTTCATTAAATAAGAACAAAAGGTACTCAAACTCAAGTTACTACACAAAAATTACCATGTAGACAAGGATGTTAATATCTCCAAATATCAAACACTGGCTGGCAAACAATGCCATCATGCTATAAGTTCCAGATGTTCACTTGTCACCTAATACACAGATGTCCAAAAGTAACATCGAAAAGGCACTTATACAGGGGCTCCTGGGTGGCTCGGTTGTTAAGCACCTGACCTCAGCTCAGGTCATGATCCCGGGGTCCTGGGATAGAGCCCCGCATTAGGCTCCCTGCTCCGCAGGAAGCCTGCTTCTCCCTCTCCCACTCCCCCTGCTTGTGTTCCCTCTCTCGCTGTGTCTCTGTCAAATACATAAATAAAATAAATAATAATAATGTTTTTTAAAAAGCACTTCTACAAATCAACACCTAATGTGCAAAAGTTCAGGTTTGCATAAAGATCAAATATACAAATGTTGAGGACTAGCTAATCAAAACAGAACTATAAAAGTGACTGTCATGGTTCTTCCTTCTTTAAGAAATAGCTAATGCATTCCCCAGAGGCATGGGTGTGTTAGTTTCCCCAAGGATGTTAGCACCTCAGGGGATTCCCTGTCATGCTGAAATAGACCTATGGCTTTCCTGTTATTTTATGAACAGGCTTAAGACCCGGTGAAAGGATTTCATACCCCCTGAGGTAGGACAGAGCAGTAAACAAAGGAGAGGAAGTAATCAGCAACAGGAAGGTTGGCATTCTGATCATCACCTTCCTCTGCTTCTAACTGTAGCCAGGTGTGCCAATCCAAGGACGGACTGCTGGAGATCCTCAATCGTCTGAAAATCTTATGTGCTTGCACGAGTACTCAGTTGCTCCCTCTTCCATGTCCCCACAGCAATGTCTATACCCTTTATTATACGTCGTATTAAGGCAAAGACAGTATTCCCCTCTTCTCTGCATTTCACCCAAGAAACTGCATAGGGCCTGGCATCCAGTTTACTCCAACATCTACAGCTAGTTAGCCCAGTGAGTAAATAGATGAACAAATCCTGATATTTTCTTAATTTAAACTACATTTACAGAGATTATATACAAAATTAGTTTTCAAAGTTTGAAAATAACACTTCACAAAGACATTTTTAACAGACTAATATAGGCTTCCTGATTCTCCAGCAGACTGTTCAATACTGTTCCCTAAGAACCAAGTGCAGCTGTCTTTACAGGGTCTTCAAAAAGCCATGAGACATCATGAAAAAAAAAAAAATCAATCTCTTTTCATAAACATTGTACAACTATAAAAATGGTCATTCCGCTCAAAACACATCTAGGTGGGCATTTTTAGATTCATACAATTAAACACCTTCTATAGTCAGCTTCTTAGTTCCATATTCTTCTCCTTTAAACTGAAAGTTATGATGACAGAAAGTCTTTAACAAATTCCTACTTTATTAACTCAATGAATGTTTCTGAACTGCTAGAATGGGCGAAAGTGAGTGCAGGAGACAGCAGTAATACCTGAGCCTAAGCAGAGGCCCTGAGACCTAAGGACAGAGGCACCAGCTGAGATTAAGAACATGGACTCCAGGACAGAGGGCACCCTAGTTACAGGACAACCCACAGTGGCCAATTGGTGGGTCACTACACACATTAAAGAATACTTGTACTTCTGTTTTAACTAAGAAAATGACACAAATACTGACCTTAGCTCCAGGAAGTACTTCATTCTGTTTCAACGTGAGACTCAACTCCAGCCTACCAATTAGCCCTCCAATCTGCACTGGGTCAGAGGGCGCTACCTCTGGTAAATTTCTAGTTAGTTGTGGGTGTGGCTCATATACAATTTTGGGATTCCAGCTAGGTGACAGCTTTGGCTCAGTTTCCTATAATAAGGCAATTAAGAATAAAGTAATTCTTTAGAACATCTTAGTATAAATAAACCAAAATGCAAAAAACAAATGTCAACTTAAGAAGAGTAAAATATTTGACATGAAAAACTGTACTATGTGACAATGAATAAACCAGTGTCTTATAGCTAGCAGGAAACAACGGTAATAAAGGCAAATCATGGAAAAGGACTTTATGAAAAAAAGCACATCTATTCAAATTACAGCAATAAGAAAACATAATAGACATTCTATAATTATGAAAATCTGAAATAATGTAAAAGATAAATTATGGAAGGACTGATTTATAAAAGGACTCTCTACTCTTAGAAAGGATTAATAAAAAGTTCCTTAATTATAAAACTTTAAGATATAATTTGTAAGTTTTCAGCCATACATTCATTATGTAAGGTAAATGTGAACACTGCTTTTGTTTTTATTATAAAAGGGTATTAGTTGTTAATACACCATTTTCCTACAAGACACAGTATCCAATGTTATACCCTGGTAGGAAAGGCATTAATCATAAAGGTGAGTATTTTAAAAAACTCTGAAATGTGGGTCTCCATTACTGAATATTTGTGTTAACGTCCAGATCAGATGGAAACTCACTAACACGCATTTTATATCCTAGCACAATTTAATTGCCCTCCTTTACACCATTTATTTATTTTTAAATTTATTTTTTTGAGAGGGAGAGAGAGAGACTCTTAAGCAGGCTCCATGCCCAGTGCAGAGCCTGACTCTGGACTGGATCTCACAACCCTGAGATCATCACCTGAGCCAAAATCAAGAGTCAGACGCTCAACCGACTGAGCCACCCAGGTGCCCCTAATTTAAACTTTTTAAAAATCTATGATTTAGTGTTTGGTTTTTTCGTTTTGTTTTTCTTACCGCTGGTGCAGTTGAACACACTGGGGAAGATTTTGCTGACGCAGAAAACTCCTCCCAGAAGAGAGATACTCCGGAGAGCTGGAGTAACTTGTGAGCAAAGGCTGTGGGCTGATGCACGTTAATTCCTGAGGCCTCATCAGCAGCTTCATCACAGTAGACAGTTCTCAAAGTTCAAAACAAAAAGCGCTGGCATGAAACTCCTAAGAAAACCTACTTGCAAGTCTAAGAACACACATAGCTTTTTAAGGTAAAGGGTTTTTCAAGTGTTAGCACTTAGAAAATGCCTAGAATGTGGTCAGCATTAGTGCTTTACTACAGGAAATGTTTTCACCAAGAGACCCTCAGCCTCAAGAAGGATAATTTTATGGGGCTCCTAAACCGGGGGAAAAGATTAATAACTTCCTAAAGTTAGCCTCAAGGAAAACAATTCCTGTGCTTCCTCACAAACATCTCTTAGTAACAGTGAGACAGCATTTGGCTCCAAGTCACAAGTCTGCAATGAATGACATTTTTTGAATTCTTGTGACTATTCTATGAGTTCTTATGACTCACTTCAGTTTCAACAAAATACAGAATGTAGTGCTACATGAGATTTTAGATACTTATTAATATACCATTTCAGGTAACGCAACCTAATTTCAAAAATCTGCTAACAATAACTGTTTCACTAATAGGTAATTTTATGATAGAAAGACAGAAACCATAACATACCTGCTTAAAATTTCGTAAAAGCCCCCAAAAGTTCCCTATACAAAGTGTCTTCGGTGCTCAGTGCAATTCCGCATATTTCTATCGCGCTAAGACACAGGTGAACAGTGACTACCCCAGGGCAACCCTCTCGCGTCCCCTCCTTCTTTGGGTGCTTTGTACTATCTGTACATTACTGTACTCTCAATAAACTTTGCTTTGCTGCCCACCAAAAAAAAAAAAAAAAAAGTGACTACCTCAAATCGACACTCAGCTATTTATAAGGCTCCAAGTGGGCATACACAGAAAACTAAGTCCTGGTTTCTATCTTTTTAAGTAAGTCACTATTACACAGATACTCCCACAGAATCCTCTCAAAGAAAACTGCAGGCTTAGGCTTTCTCATGAAAGCAGCACTCAGATCAAGCACAGGAAAGCAAAGAAGCCCCTCGCATTAATGAGACACGCCAAAACAGGGCATCGCTCGTATGAAAAAACTCCAACTGGAGTGCCTTAAATTTAGCAGCACTCACACATTCATGATTTTTATTTGATATTAACTAAAAGAATCATTTGCTTTGAATTCCACATATTATATATAATTATACCTCAAATGGTACTTTAAGTTTTCAATAAAGGGATCAGAACATATCTTGGAGAGCAGAGCTTTACTCTGAAAACATACAATGTAGTAACTCAATTGCATCACTTCTAATCTCTGAAACCATCATGAAATCTAATGAAAGTCAGATCTTACTATTTATAAAAGAAAAGAACAGGGTCATTTATTCTCAGATATAAGAAGTCTTACCTTTCTATTCGAATTTCAAGTGCAGTTCCAGTTTTGGAATTTTCTGGCACGTGTTCAATTCTCAAGACAGTGTCTATAAAAGTGACTTTTACTCTTCTTAGTACTAGAGTAAACAGGTAACCATCAACATGAGACCACATGTATACTAAATAAAAACTTCTAATGAAAAGAATATATAGTAGCTTAATAAGAACTTACAAAATAAACTGGTATTTCTTTCCTTAAAAATCCCAAAATCTTGAGTTTGGTAATAAACATTTTGCCTTACTGAGCACCTAACAGATACCTGTGCAATGCCCAACACTCTGCTGAACTCTAAACCCTTCATTACACAAGCATAATAAAGGAAACAGAAAAAAAAAAACAAACTAGGGTACAGAAGGACATGAAATTAAATTGAATATTTAAAATAACCTCAATTCTAAAGTTCTGAAGTGAGAACAGTAATGCCTTAAAAAAAAAAAAATCACTCCAATGGATTTTCCTTATACAAGGCTTACTAAAGAGAGGTACTACATTACTAATCAAAAAAAAAAAAAAAACTAAAATTTTTGAAAGTACTCCATAATGCCAAACCTGTTTCAATGGTTTCAGCAAACTTTTCAAGTCCTTCAAAAGGCTGTGATGCTTCTCCTTGTTCATCTGTTAATTTCTGGCTAAGACATTCTTTTGCCAATTGCATACTGCTGGTCATGAAACTTGACCAATACATAGGTTCAGAACCAGTTGCTGCAGAAAATATAGATTAATCCTAAATAACTTCTTATAGTTACAACAAAGCAGTTTCTTAAAATGCCACATCTGAAATATATTCTTACCCTCCAAGAGATATTTAACATCAGGGTGTTACCTAGGCATATGGTATTCTAGAAATTACTCTTGAGATTTAAACATCACCTTACAATAACGGAGAAGAAAAAGGAAAAAAAAAATAACAGAAAGAAGTCCAGAGACATGCTCTCATTAAATATGTATCTGTCAAATGTTAATTCATGAATTCATTCAACAAGTATCTAATGCATGCATGGTACTGTTCAAAATACTGTAGAACAGGGGTCAACAAATTTTTGGTGAGGGTCAGATAGTAAATAGTTTAGGCCCTATCGCTTCTACCCTGACTACTCAACTCTCTCGCTCTAGTGCAAAAGCAGCCAGAGAGAATAAGGAAATGAGTGAGTATGGTAGTGTTCCAATACAAATTTATTTAAAAAAATATGACAGATCAAATTTGGCTTACAGGCCATAGTTAGCTGACCTTGCTGTAGGGGACCGAAAAATAATGATTAATTCTGCCCTCTGAGAGCCTACAATATATGGAAGAAATGAGATGTGGTTAAGAAGAATTAGTAAGCAACTATGCAATGTCAACAGAAAACACTGACGGCTAATCAAGAGGTTAATTCTTCCCACAGACAGAATTTAACGGAAATCTGGTAGAGGTGGCTTATGACCTAGGCTTTAGAAGGTCAGTATAAATGTAGATAAAACAGAAGAACATCCTTGGAGGAATCCATGAACTGGGAAAAATCCTTTCCAGATCATCCCTCATCAAAGAATTGCACTACACTTCCTTCCATTATTCAAAACAAACTAACAGATTACTAGAATTACCGCCTTCCAAAATAGAATTTAAAACCCTTCTCATGGAATATTTTTAAAGGCAGAATATTTGACTTTCCATAGAAAATATTAATCTATCTACTCATCATGGTCAAAAAATAAAATATTCTTGTTAATTAAATGCCATTATCAAAGAGGATTTCCATGCATAGACTACCAATTTTCAAAGTGCAGGTGCTATTAATTCTAGTAAGCATAATTTAAACTTTGGTGTTCCAGACAGCACTTAGAATTGTAATTCTTCAAGTATATCTTGACCAACATCACTTGTCACTCAAAGAATTTAAATTCAGAATTTAAGATGATTTAGATCATGACTCTATCATCTTATAAAACACACACACACACACACACACACGCACGCATGCACGCACATACTCCAAAGTAGAAAATCTGAGCTATAACAGAGCACAGTGGTTAAGAACATGGACTCCAGAACTAGACTGCCTGGGTTGAGATCCCAACTTTCCACTTAACTAGCTATGACCTTGGACACGTTACTGAATCCACCTGTGCTTCAATGTCCTGCTCCATAAAATGAAAGACAACAAACCATATCTATTTCAAAGAGCTATGGTAAGATAATATTGGTAAAGCACTCACAACAGCATCTGGCATGCAAGAAGCACTATATACATGTTTGATAAGTCAGAAAACGGCATACATATAACTAAAGCTACCACAAGGATACACTTATAAATAATAACTTACTACTATTTTAAAGCTTTTCCCTCCCAAACTTTTCTTTTGAAACTTTTTAATCCTAAGGAAAAGGTGAAAGAACGGTACAATGAACTGCATAGCCTTCACTTAGATTCGTCACAACTATATACACACACAAAGATTAATAACGCAAATACACACACACTCTTATCCTTTTGCTGATCTATCTGAAGGTAAACTGCAGGCATCATAACACTCACTCCTAAATACTTCAGCAGATAACTCCTAAGAATACAAACATACCCATGGCAAAAGCTCAATAACATGAACACACCCAAGAAATGTAACACTGACAAAATACTATCTTCTATACATTCCACACCCAAATTTCCCAGCTGTCCCAGTAATATCCTTCATAACAAAAACAAAAACACAGGATTATCTACTTCAGTTATTCATGTCTTCCTCTTCTCTAATCTGGAACAATTCCTCTACTTTTCTTGTGTTTCATGATACTGATACTTCTTAAGAGTACCAACCAGTTAGTCTACAGAATTTCCCTCATTTTGGATTTGTCTGCCTTCTTCCTTACGCTGTGATTCAAATTAAGCACTTTTAACAGGAACAGTATACATATGATGTGTCCTTTTCAGCCATCACTCAGGACACACATCATGGCAGTCTGACCCACTACTGATGAGATTAAGATTGACCACTAGGATTGTTGTGGTGTCTCTCAATTTCCTCCACTGTGAAAGAAACATTTTTCTCTCTGTAAATAACATGTAATCAATGGGAGGTATGTCAATACATCTCAATATCAAGCTCCTCAACAACCTTTCACCAAATGGGGTTAGCATTCATTGATGATTACCACCGGTATCAATTTTTTTTTTTTTACCATGGTGGCCAAAAACATGGTGATGGTCTATCATTTTTTCTACTCTAGTAAGTAGATACTCTACTGCAATAAAGAGCTTTCCCTTCTTCCTGCCTCCCTTACAGACTGAATACTTATTTTTAACAGTATGGACTTAAGAGTTGTTTTTAATTCCAAGTGTTAAAATCCATTTATTGTCATTATTCCCAGATTTGGCCAACGAGAACACCTACAAGCCCAGTCCTCTGTCCTTTTAACACTTCTCCATCAATCATTAAGCACTTCCTTGGTTTCTGGCACAATACTTTGAAACTTTAAAATACAAGTCACTTTACATAACCAGTAACAAATAATTAAACCAAATCATCAGTATACTAAAGTTCCCATGGATAAATAGGGCAAGAAGTAACTCTAAAGGTAAAAAATCACCCCCAAGACCTAATATTTTATCTACTGAAAATCTCACAAACACAATACTAAGTAATAAATTAAATACTGAATTTAATACAATTAGGTTACCTTCCCAATCTGTGAAGAATACAAACAGAAACAAACAAAACAGAAACACGTAACACACCTACCTAGGCGGGGTCTAGGCCGGAAGACCATTTCTAGCCCTTTCACTTCCAGTGCACAATTCTCCTGTAGCAAGGAGCCCCATGGAACTGACAGAGAAATTGACTGTATGAATCCTTCAGTGACTTCTAAAGGCGCATCTGCCGACTCCAGGATCTCATTGAGACACTAAAGAGAAAAACCAAGTGTATTTTGAAATCACAGGAACAAGAACTCAAAATTGTTAACTTATTCAAAGATGCTGAATATGCTCATATATGTGTGTCAGACACTAGGAATAAGGAAAGCAGAGTCCAAGATAAAGACTCCCCATCCTCATGAAGTTTACAAAATAGCTTACCACGAAAGACACACATAATTAAGGTGTGATGAGGTACATGAAAGAGGAAATAAACTATACTCTTTGAGCATGTAATAGAACCTAACCCAGAGATCCAAGACAGGCCACCTGAGGAAGAGCTATTTAAAAGTGAGACCAGAGGCTAAGGAGTTAATCAAGCAAAGTGGTCCACAAAGAGACAACAGTGTGTGGAAGGAATCAAAGAAACCAGAGGTCAGAGAGTGCAAGCCCACATATTTCAGACGCAAAACTTTATGAAAAGGAAAAGCTGCTTTAGGCTCTAGTGTAGTGTGCTAGGGTGATGCGCCAGAGATAAAGCACACAGATAAGGGAGAGTGAAATCCAAACAGCCTTGTAATTCATGTTAAAGAGTCAGACTTTTATCTCAAAAGCAAAGTGAAGCCCCTGAAAGGTTTTAAGCAAGGGCACCATGATGAGATTAGAACTGGAGAGGAAACAGTTTCACTACCAAGCCAAGCATGTATTGGAGGAAGGCAAAATTCAGGCAAAAAGGTCATTCTGAGTAAGACAAGCTAGGGAAATTGGTTTGGCAAGGACAGTGACACTGAGGACAGTCAGAAGTGGGCAGATTTTTGTAGAATATTAGGAAGTAGAATTGGCATCATGAGAAATAAAGAAGGAATGAAGAATGACTTCTGGGTTAGGGACCTGGGCAGCTGGTTAGCTGGCAGTGCCATTTACTGAGAAAAAAAAACCTGGAGAAGCAGGTTAGGGGAAGCTCAGGAGCCGAGTTCCAAAGAGTATATGTGAGCAGGCATCTAGGTGGAGATGTCCAGGAGGCAGCCGGATATTCTGGTCTAGATGTCAGGAGAGCCATCTGGGCTGAAGATACAGAAGGGCATTATGAATCCAGAATGTCAATGAAGCCCTAGGGTGAGGAGAAACAGTCTTTGGGAACTTATGCAAAGTTAAATAACAAGAGGCCTAGGACTGAGTCTTGATAAACACCAACATTTAAGAATTAAGAATTGGGGGCGCCTCTGTGGCTCAGTTAGTTGGGCGTCCAACTCGATTTCGGCTCAAGTCATGATCTCAGGGTCGTGAGATCCAGCCCTACATCAGGCTCCCTACCGGGCATGGAGCCCCAGTTGAGGAACCTGCAAGTAAACTAGAAAAAAGCAAACAGAGATAGAGGGAAAATCAAAAAAGCCTTACATCCCCAAAAATCATGGAAAGACAATTTTAAAAAGTGGTGCAGTGCATCACAAGGCAAGAAGAGGCCAAAGTTTTTAAGTGTTCACCCGATTTTCTGATATTTAGGGTACTGGTGATCCAACTGAGAACAATTTCAATGGCGTGGTAAGGAAACCAGACTACAACAAAAGGAAGAGAGAATGGATGTAAATATAGTTAATAGAATAATTAAATGTATTTCTTAACATACTTCTTTTTGACAATGTACTTTATAAATTAAAATAACAAATATTTATTAAATGCCAGTTTATATGTAAGGTACTTTCTGCACACAACAGTGAATAGCAGTATTGTAATTCTTTGTCTACAAACCTGACGCTGAATGTTGATATTTAGACTGGCTCACATTTTATCATTGGAGGCCACTACTTTAAAAGGCTTTCTTCATGCTGTTTGTGTAATCCTACAGACTTTCTGAAGAGTACAGGGGCATGGGTGCTTTTAAGGTAAACACATTCAGATCCTCAATCCACAAATACATTGTTCTAAAACTGACCTTCCTGAGAAGAGTACTTAACGGTGGCCCCATGTTAGATCTCCACTCACATATTCCCTTGTACAATCTCTGTCCTCCCACTTCGCCAAATGGGCTGATCTTTGCCCTTCCTGAATCCTCCTTTGTGCACTGCCTAGGGTATAAAAATCTCCAGGAAGCACCAGCAGTAAGTTTGTTAGTCTTTCCTTATCTATACATATCTTTGGCATGACACTCAAAGTCAAAGAACTAAGTGATGTTGCTACTACAAAAGCCCTTCAATTCTCATCTACTTATTTATGACTCAAGCCTATAACTATTTTAAAAATTTACAATGAAATTTATGATGAGCCCTATCAAATACTAGTTGTAAGTATATTCATTTATGGACACATGAACTAAACAGGGAAGAGCGGGAAAACCACCTACCCACATCATTAAGAAATGTATTTCCAGGGCACCTGGGGAGCTCATTGGGTTAAGTGTCTACCTTTGGCACAGGTCATGATCCTCAGGTCCTGGGATTGAGCCCCACATCAGGATCCCCGCTCAGTGGGGAACCTGCTTCTCCTTCTCCCTCTGCCCCTTCCCCCGACCTCCACTTGTGCTCTCTCTCTCTGCTCTCTCTCAAATAAATAAAATCTTTAAAAAAAAAAAAGTATTTCCAATAGAAATTTTTACGTTTAGTTTTTCAAATGTATATTTATATTGTTTTGATCAACTGCACTTATAATCATAATACTCACCACATTCTGCGTGGAGCACTGGGTATTATGCACAAACAATGAATCATGGAACACTACATCAAAAACTAATGATGTAATGTATGGTGGTTAACATAACAATAAAAAAATTATTAAAAAAAAATACAATTCCAGACAAAAAATGTTACTAAAGCCTAACGATTACCTAAAGGAAATACTGATAAGGTCAGTATGGGAAGCGCTTAAAGGAACTAAGGAAACCACTAAAAAACTCAAAAAACATCAAGTGAGGAAATCATTAAAGGAATTAAAATGGTAATTAAAAGGAATTAAATTTTTAAAAGGAATTAAAGGAAATATTGAGCAAGATGGCAGAGGAGTAGGAGACCTAAATTTCGTCTGGTCCCAGGAATTCAGCTGGATAGGGATCAAAGCATTCTGAACACCTACGAACTCAACAGGAGACTGAAAAAATAGCAGCAACTCTATGACAGAAAAGCGACCACTTTCTGGAAGGTAGGACGTGCGGAAAAGTGAATCCGAGGCGATATTCAGGAGGATAAACAGCAGGGGAGGGGGCCTCTGTTGGCTGCTTCTGGCAAGTGCTAGAGCCGCGGAGCACAAAATCGGACCTTTTAGAAGTCGGCTCCGCTGAGGGACGTCGCTCCAGTGGCTAAGCGGGAGGTGGAACCCTCGCGGGACAGTGTGGTCTCACGACCCTCAGGGTCACAAAAAGACGCGGGTGACTGAGTGCGGCAGAGCTCCCAGGTATCAGAGCTGGGAAGCCAGCTCCAGAGACAGAGCCGAGGCGCGGGCTCTCAGCTCGGGGTGGCCATAAACCATGACCCAACAAGCGGCAGAGCTGGGGAGACTCTTCCTCCCCCGGGAGGAGCAGCGCGGGAGCGCACCGCAGGGATCTGCTGGGTTTGCAGACGCCACACAGGGTCGGGTACCAGAGGTAGAAACGCTTGGTCACAGGCCGGGTGAGCACCAAGTGCGGCCGGAGACCAGGGAGAGCAGAGTGACTGACTGCTTTTCTCTGAGGACTCACTGAGGAGTGGGGCGCAGAGCTCCCGGCTCCTCCGGGGGGGAGATTAGGAGACCGCCATTTCACTCTCATCCTCCAAAGCTGTACTGAAAGCTTGCAGGGAACAAAAGCTCCCGAGAGCAAACCCTAGCAGATTACTTAGCCCCGACCCAACAAGGGCGGAGAAATTCCACCTCCGGCAAAAGACATTTGGGAACCACGGCAACAGGCCCCTCCCCCAGAGGATCAGCAAGAACACCAGCCAAGACCAAGTTTAACGATCAATGAGAACCGCAGAACTCCAGCGCTAGGGGAATACTGCACATAAATTTATCACTTTCTTCCCCATGATTCTTTAGTCTTTCCAAGTTAATTTTTTTAACTTTCTTTTTTCCTTTTCCTATTTTTTTAAATATTTCTTTCTCCCTTTTTGAACCAACATCTTATCAATTCCTTAAAATCTTTTTTAATTTTCAGGTTTAGAGTCATATTTTATCCCTTCATTGTAGTTAACCTTATTTTTTTATGTATATATAAGTGGTTCTCTCCTTAAAATTTTGGGATACAGTTTCTTCTAACAGACGAAAATATACCCTAAATCTCTAGTGCATGGCTTTGTTCTAGTCTCCTGCCTGATCACAATCTCTCCCTTTTTTGTTTTTTTAAAATTTTTCTTTTTTCAACCAACTTATCAATTCCTTTTATAAAATCTTTTAAAATTTTCATCTTTACAGTCATATTCCATCCGTTCATCGTATTTACCCTTATTTTTGTACATATATAAGTTTATCTTCTTTAAAATATTGAGAGGCAGTTTCTTCTAACAAACCAAAATATGCCCAAAATCTAGTGTGTGGCTCTGTCTATTCACCAGCCTGATCATATTCTTTTTTTTTTTCTTTCCCTTTCTTTTCCCCCCAGTTTCGGGTCTCTTCTGATTTGTTTCGTGTATATTTTTCTGCAGTCACTGTTACCCTGTTAGCATTTTGTTCTCTCATTCATCTGTTCTCCTCTGGACAAAATGACAAGATGGAAAAACACCTCAAAAAAAAAAGAACAAGAGGCAGTACCAACTGCCAGGGACCTAATCAATACGGACATTAGGAAGATGTCCAAACTAGAGTTCAGAATGACGATTATAAAGATACTAGCTGGGCTTGAAAAAACCATGGAAGATACTAGAGAATCACTTTCTGGAGAAATAAAAGAACTAAAATCTAACCAAGTCGAAATCAAAAAGGCTATTAATGAGG